TGGATCACGACTACGATGCGATGAAGCCGGTGGTGTTGGCCACTTGGAAACACACTTTCCAGGGCGGCTGCGCCTCCCAGAGCGCACTCCTGGCCGAGTCGCGTGTCGTCCAGGAGTCGCTTCGTATACCGGGAACCGATCTGAATCTTGTTTACCATTCCTCGCGAGTGAACGGCTATTTGTCTACTATTGAACTCCAACTGACACCCGATAAGATACCCCAAGCGCTCCGATTGGTTCACCTGAAGATCGCCATCGAGGGTATACTCTTCGAGAAGACCTTCGAAGCGGATCCCACCATAATGTTTACCTACGCGTGGAATCGGCGCAACATTTACCGCCAAAAAGTCTTCGGTTTGGCCACCGCTATGGTTCACGTGGGCTATCAGTACACCGGTTGCGCTGCGACCGTATGGGACGTCCAGACGGTACAGTTGGCCGGACACGATATGGCCATCTCGGAGATCGGCGGCTGGAATCTGGACATTCATCACCGGTACAACTTTCACGAGGGTATTCTCCAGAAGGGCGACGGAACCAATGTCTACCTGAAGCAAAAGTCCAAAGTGATGTTGACCACGATGGGCGACGGCCAACAGCGCCCCCTTCACTGTCCCTATTGTAATGGTGTGGCCAGAGATCAACGCCTGTTGGCACCCGTGGCACTCGCCTCCGCCCCCGATGGCAGCGTATATGTCGGCGACTTTAATCTGGTCCGACGTATTAAGACCGACGGATCAGTGCAAACGGTGGTCGAGTTGAGCGAGTCCTCCGTGGCCTATAAGTATCACTTGGCTGTCGGTCCCATCGACGGTAAGCTCTACTTCTCGGACCCGGAAAAGCATCAGATCCTGCGGGCGATCAGTTTGGATCAGATACCCGATCCGCGCAACAATCTGGAGATAGTGGTGGGCACTGGTGTCAAGTGTTTGCCCGGCGATCGCTCGGCCTGTGGCGACGGCCGACTGGCCCGAGACGCCCGCCTGTCGTACCCCAAAGGTCTGGCCATATCATCCGCGGCAGAGATCTTTGTGTCCGACGGCACAAACATCCGATACGTGGACGCGTCCGGTGTTATTCATACACTGATCGGCGATCACTACCACAAGAGTCACTGGAAACCGCTTCCCTGTTCCGGATCTATACCGCTGCAGAAGGTGGCCCTCCGGTGGCCGACCCAACTGTCCATTTCGCCCATTGATAACTCGCTGCATATACTCGACGATCATATGGTCCTGAAGTTGACACAAGACCGGCGGCTGCGAGTGATCGCCGGCCGGCCCTCCCATTGCTCGTCAGTCATCACCGGAACGCCCGAAGAAGTGCCAAACGCCGAGACCGGCGAGGCTTTAGCTTCGTATGTGTTGTTGTCTTATGTCTTGTGATTATCATTGATCTGATCTGTGGTTTTGTTGTTGTTTTACAGACAAGTATTCCTCGAAACGCCCCAATCGATAGCCTTCGGACCGAATGGCGACCTCTATATCGCCGAAAGCGACTCCCAGACCGTGAATCGGGTCCGTGTGGTCACCGCCAACGATAACAAGATCCGTAGGTTCGCCGGCGCCGACCTCAAGTGCTCGTGTATGGACGTACAGTGCGAGTGCTATTCGCCGGACCTGTTGGCCATCAACGCCAAACTGTCCACCGTATCGGCCATAACAGTCACACCCGACGGACGCCTACACGTCTGCGACCAGGAAAACCTCCGCATACGGACAGTGGTGTCGCCACTGCCCGACCAAAACCCCACGAACGGCGAGTACGAGATTGTCAGTCCCCTCTCCACCGAGATCTACCTCTTCAACAGACACGGCCAACACGTGTCCACCCGATCGGTAATGACCGGCCATACGGTGTATACGTTTAGCTATAATGTCAATACACTGAACGGGAAGCTGTCGTCGGTGACCGACTCGGCCGGCAATAAGCTGTATATACTTCGGGATTACAGTAATCAAGTGAAGAGTATTGAAAACTCCCAGGGTGGAAAGTGTAGATTACAAATGTCCCGGCTGGGTATGCTCAGCACGTTCACCACGCCCGACAACTTTGTGACCAAGTTGACTTATTATGGAAATACTGACGCCCTGTTGGCCACCCGTACCGACTCGTGGACCCGTTCGGTGGCCTATCAGTACGACCAATACGGCCGACTCGTGAGGGCAGTGCTTCCCGACGGCGATATCATTGAAATGCAGTATAAGCTGAACACCGACGGCGCCCGAGTGGCCATCGATCGCAACGGCAAAGAGTTGATGAAACTGGCGATTGTGGGCCAAGAGGTGAGCAGTGTGTCCACCACTGGCGATGAGGATCAGCCCCTCGTGTTGACAAAGATTGCGGCCAAAGACTCAAAGTTTACCATCAAGTCGGCCGACACTAGTGTCACAGAGATCGAGTCCCAGGTGTCGCCTGTGATCAGCGATATGTGGCCCAAAATGGCCGAGACTTGGCCTCTGCCCACACGTATGCGAGTGATAGCCAACGACGAGATCAGTACAAGACTCGAGTGGAAACACTACGTCCGCCGCAGCGCCGGCTCTAAAGGCCAGTCGACTGATACGAAACGCATACAAACTGTTGGCCGCAAACTCAAAGTGAATGGCGATCCTGTGCTGGCCGTGGAGTACGATCGCGACGCCCAACAGGAGCTACTTCTGGACCAAACCATGAAACCCATTGTCACCGTTAGCTACGACCCGGTGGGTCGACCCCTGCGGTGGACCTCCGGTCACAATC